TTAATTGTACGTATCTTGGTTGATTTATTTATTACATGTTTATTTTTTTTTTATTATTTATATATATATATTATTTTAGTATTTTTTACTTTTTATATTTATATATATGTTATTTTTTATATTATTTTTTTTGGGTTTTTTTTATTTTTTTTATGTTAATACTATGGGCTGATCAATAAATCATTTTTTGTTGTTGATTTATTGATTGAATATAGTAGTTTTTTAGTTATTTTATCCTTTTTTTTATTTCGTTTAAAGAAAATAATTAATAATATTTCTTTTTTATAATTTAAAAAGGAAATAAGAATTTTTTTTTTTTTTATTGTTTGTTTGATATTCGATTAGACATTGATTATTATTTAAAAGAATAAACATGCCACCCGAAAATCATTTAAATTTAATTTTGGATTGATTTGACTTCTGTAGTGATTTGTTGACACTACACAAGCTTCGATAAATCCTTATTTTTTGTTTATTTATTATTATTAATTTAAATTTATATTATTATTATTTATATACTTTTTAAAAATATTATTATTAGTATATAAATGAAGGAAATAAAAATATATTTTTTTATACTTTTTTTTTTTGCTATAAATATATCTTTAATTATATTAAAACACTTATTTATTTATTTTTATAAAAAAATTAATTTAAAAATAATAATAAAAAATTTTTCACAAATATGAAGCTTAAACATAAAAGTGGTTGATTTATGACTACAAATAAAATTAAATAATAACAAAAGAATACATAAAAATAAAATTTTTTTTAGGATTCTTTAATATATATGCATAATTTACCAAATAAAGAGTAAAAAATGAAAACATAGACCGAATTTATATGTGTTTATTAGTATATTAGTTTGATTTTTTAAGATGATCTGTGAAATATTAGAAAGTAGTTAAGAAAAGTAAAAAATAATAAGAAATCTATAGATATTATATCTGGTTTTATTGGAATATTGCAATCAAGGATTTTCTATAAGCTTTTATTAATTTTTTATAATAAGAATAAAATAAAATATTTTTATAATAATTAAATACATTTAGAAATATTTTATGTATGGAAATAAGGTTTTTAATCAAGAAGTAGTACTAATATTACAGTTTTAACATAAAATTAATGAAAAGCATATTATAAATAATGGATTTTTGATTTTAACATTATAAATTAATAAAATATATGGAGGTTTTGTATTGAAAATAAAGACTATTTGTAAAAAAAAAATAGTTAAATAAAATTTTACAAAAATTATATAATATTATAAATAAATGATAGAATTTTTAACTAAAATTTAATAATAAAAAAAAAAGAAATTAAAAAAATTAGTATAAGTAAAAACTGAATTTTAATTGAAAAAAATTTTAAGTTTTTTAAAAACATTTAGATTAAAAAATATATAAGTAATTCTGATATATTCATTAAAATATAATGAAAATTAATAGATAAAACTGGACTAGTAATTATACTAATAAATAGCATATATGTTTAATTAGAAATTAGTAGATTTTATTAGTTAGGTTTTGGGGGGCTAAATAATTAATAAAAATAGAATTAGTATAAAATTGTATATTAAAAGAATGCTAAAGTATAATAAATAGAATTATTATGGAAAAGAAGTAATAAAATTAGGTTTTTTTTATAAGAAATAATTCGTTTAAATAATTTTAATAAATATTTAAATAAATAATTTAAATAAATATTTAAATTTAATAAAAATTTGGAGACTAAACGGAAATTTTGTTTGAGAAAATACGGAAATTTTTAGAGAAAAAATATACTTTTTGTTAAATTTTTTCTTTCTTTAATTCAAAAAATATAAAAGCTTTAGTATGAGTAAAATACGTTTTTTTAGGGAAAAGGAGAAAAATTAGAATTGCATTAAGAAAAAAATGAGGCTTTGAAGGAATATTTTTAAGGAAATAAATTATGGGTTTTTTGAAAGAGAAAAAGTAAAAAAAAGATGGTTTTGAGATATAAGAAAAAATTTATAATAAATTAAGAAAAATAAAAATAAATAAAAAGTAATATTTTCATTTTTTTTTTTGTGTTAGTAATAAGAAAAAAAATAGTATTAAAATATACGTATATATATATATATATATTAATAATAATAAAAAAATTTATATTAAAAGTTAAGTATTTTAAAATTAAATTAAAGTTAAATAATAAAATATAAAAGAAAAATTAAAAAAAAAATTATGTAAATAAAATAAATTCTTTAAATATTAAAATGATCAATTAAAATTATTAAAACATAAATAAATTATATAAAAATTAAAAAAAATAAGCAATAAATTATTAATTATAGTTGAAATCTTTAAATAAATTTTACAAAAGAAATGTTTGTAAAATAAAAATAATTTTTAAATACAAAAAAATTCATATAAATAAAATAATAATGAATTTAATAAATTATAATAATTAAAAGATAATATAAAAGAAAAATTCAACTTTTTTTAATTTTTATTAATAATTTTTATATAAAATTATATATATGTATATATATAATATTAAGAATTATAGAAAATTATATTATTTATATATATATATATATAAATATATATATATATATATATATATTATAGAAATATATATATTTATATATTCATTTATTAATAAAATAGTTAAATAAAAATTTATGAAAGGAAAATCTGTTAAATCAAGTAATTCCTAATTTCAAGATGCTTAATTAATTTAAATTTAATAACAATATAATTAAATGACTTAAGATCATGAGAATGTGTAATCAAGAATTGAAATAGAAAACGAAAATGAGAAATATGTACCAATTCCAAAAAAAATAATAATTACATGCCTTGTTTTATTAATTAGTGGATCTATTTTATTTTTTTTAGGCATAATAGATTTATTAAATATAGGAATTAGTTAATAAAATATTTCGTTTATAATTTTAGGAGTTATATTATTAATACCAGGTGTTTATTATACATATTTATTAATTTATGCTTATATTTCTAAATATTCAGAAAGATAGTAAATATTAAATGAATTCCCTATGGATTATAATGATTGAAACAAAAATTATATCAATAATAATATATATATAAAAATATAATTGTTTTTTATTTATTTTCTATGTTTTTACAAATAATTGCTTTTAAAATACTATCTAACTAAACAAATACTTCTTGAATTTTAATTTATATCTTTTAAATTCTTAATTAAAATAAATCTATTAATTTTATTAAAATTATCTTCTTATATCATTTTTAAGTTTATTTTATAATATTTAAAGTCTTTATCTTAGTAAAAATACATTATTTTTGTATTTATAATTATATATACAATTTTTTTTAAAATATCTAATAAAATATATTTAGACTGAGTAGTTAAAATGGCACCTCATATATTTAAAAAATAATTTTTTATTAAATTATAAATTATAAAAATAAAAATAATTGCATTTAAACATTTTAAATTAATAAATTATATTGATAAATTGAATTTTATTTAGAAAAAATTAATCAATTTCAGATAAAATTTAAAATATGAAAATATAAAAATTGTAAAAAAAAATATATACATAAAATATAATAATAATAATCACAAGGCCTATATAATATAGAAATAATAAATGAATATAATAATGATAGAAATTATTGTAATATATATATATATATATATATATATATATATATTTATTTTTATATATATTATATATATATAATTTCTTTTTTATTTTTTTTTAAATGTATTTAATTATTATAATTTTATTAACTTCTATTTAATATATAATTTATTTTTATTTTTTAATTTTTGAATATATTATTGAATTTATATATGTTAATTCTTTTTTATATATTTCTAATGTATATTTCATCTTAAATATTTATAATAAATTATATTATAAACTATTATCATTTTTATTAATAAATTATATATTCTAAATTTATTTTTATATACTTTTAATTAATTTTATTTAAAAAAAAATAAAAATAATTTAATTATATTATTATAGATTAATTTTAAATATTTTTCTTTTGTAAAAAAAAAAAATTAAATTATATATAAAATTCAATATATAATAAAATAATTTTAAATTTTATATATTTTTTTTAATATTAGTTTTTAATTATAAAAGAATTATTATAAATAAAATAAAAATCAAAATAAAATTAAAAATAAAAATAAAAATAAAAATAAAATTAAAAATAAAAATAAAAATAAAATTAAAAATAAAAATAAAAATAAAAATAAAATTAAAATTAAAATTAAAATTAAAATTAAAATTAAAATTAAAATTAAAATTAAAATTAATAAGAAAAATAAAAATAAAAATATAAATAAAATATTTTTATATGATATCTATAATTGAAATATAAAAATTTTAACTAAAAAAAAAATATAATTATAAATTATAAAATAAAAATATTGATTACAAAAAAATAAAAAAAAAAAATTTTTTCTTAAAAAAATATATATATAAATATATATATATATATATATATATATATATATATATAAATATATTTTTTTCTCAATTAAAATTTTTTTTATTAGAAGTAACCATAGTATAAATATGCCCACCTTTTATATTTTTTAAATTATTTTTATTTAATAAAAAAATAAACCTTTTCTTTTAAATAGTCCTATTTCTGTTTTTAAATCTTCTATTTCTTTAGCTAAAAAACGAACCAAATCTTTATATTATTATCTTTCTTACTCTAGATCTTATTTATTTTTCTTTTCTTCATTATCTTCTTACTTTAATTTTTTTATATTATATAGATATATTTTAAAATACTTATAAATATAATTATATAAAAAATTTATATTTACAAATAATTATTTTCCTGTTAAATCTAATTTTTTAGATAATTTCATTAAATGTTCTCCTAATTTAGTAATACTAGTTATAATAGCAGTATTTTCTTTTTTAGCTTATAACATATAATTTTTTCTTTCTTATAATTATTATTTAGCCCTTTCAAGTTTAATAATGCTTTACCTTTCTTCTTCTTTGAATCTTTCTCTCATTTCTAATACCTTTTTAAAAATATTATATATATATATATATTTATTAAGATTTAACTTATTTTGTAGGTTCTAATTATTCTATAGTGCTTAAATCCATTACATCACCAAATTTTAGGAAATGCTTTTCTCGGCATTTTTCTGATTATTCTTCTGCTTCAGCATTTTTTTTACTTAGCTTTACTTATAATACTTTTTGTTTCTTTTCTAAATTTGCACGGCTTTTTTTTATTCTTTCTTGTTCTAGTTTTAGCTCTTTTATTCTTTTAGCTATTTTATTAAATTCATCTTAAGTGAATAATATAGAACGTGATAAATCATCAGGTAATTTATATGATTCTTTCTTTTCCTATAATTTAATAAATATATATATAGATTAAAAGATATTTAATTACTCCTTAATTTAATATATTAATATTTTATATTTAATCTGTTTTTAAACAATAAGAGACATCTAATTAATTAACTTTTTAAAGTTTTTTCTTTAGTAATTTTTTAATTCTTCTTCAGCTTTTCTTAAATTATTACCTATATTAGCAATTTTACTTAAAATACTAACTTTTTATCTATCAAGTTCACTTTTTTCTTTTCTTTTCTATAATTTTGTAAATTAAAATTAGAATAAATAATTTAAAAGAAAATATATATATATAAAAATATATATATATATTATATATTTATATATTTATATATTTATATATTTTAATATTACATTTTCCTATTAATCTTCTAATTCACAAATTTTATCAATAATTTCTCTTATTTTTGAATCATTTTCTACAGGTGAAATATCTGGTTTTTCATCGTCTTCATCATCTAGGAAATCATCATCGTCATCCTCATCACTTTCTATATCTCTTTTTTTGTATATATATACATATATAAAATTTCCATAATTATTTATATATTATATTTTTATACTCTTCTTCGAAATCTTCATTTTCTTCTTCTGCATTTCTTAATTTTTATTATTTAGCTTTATTTTTTTTATATTTTCTTAAATAATATTGATGAATTTTTTCTCTTTTGACATCATCGTCAGGATGTATAAGTTCTTTGAAAGCTTTTTATTATTCAACTAGTTCTTTTTCGTTTTGACTATCTTTATTAGCTAAAGTGACTAGATCTGCGACTATTTTGGCGTTTTGTTCCTCAAGTTCAGACTTATCCTTTTATAAATTCAATAAATCATTAATTAATTTTTCATCTTATTCTTCCATATCTGCTAAGATCAATAACTCTTAAAAGAAAGTGACTAATTTCATTTATGCTATAGTAATATCACTTTCCATAATATTTTTTTCGTTTTGCCATTTTAAAACGTCTTTATCAAATTATTCAGTTTCTTCATTTATTTCGTCTTGCATTCTTTTTTTTTCGGCATTCAAAATCATCTAGGTAATGGTTTTTAATTCTTCTTCTTATTCACTGTTTTGGACTTTTACGCCTTTTCTTTATTTATAACCTAATGTTGGATCTGGTTTTTTTTCTTTTTTTTATTAATTATTATTATTATTATTATTTTATTATTCATTTTCTTAAGTTTGTTTATTCTTAGCATTTTAAGCATTTTCTTTATTTTTGGAAATAATAAAAGCGTCTATTTATTCTTCGGTAACTTAAAAGAATGTTTCGGGCATTTCGAGCTATTTATCAATTTTGGGCTAAAATAAAGTCTCATTTATATTAAGTTATTTATTAATTTCTTATATTTTCTAATTATAATCATTAATTTTTTCCAAAATGTTTTTTTTTCTCTCCCTTAAAGCTATAATTTCATTATTCATTTTTATTTTCATATTATAAATAAACTCTTCTCTTAAAAACATGTTCTTTTTTTCTTACTTACATTCATTCTTTGATTTTCAGGTACATCGTAAGTCGGAGAGGATTTTAGTTTGTAATCCCCGAGTGTTTTTTTCGCATTTTCAATGTCTTTTTAATGATCAGGGTCAAATGATTCTTTTGTTGGCTTTTTTTTGGAGAGTTCTTCTAGTTCTTTTTTAATCTTTATTGTTTTAGTTTGTTTTCAAGTTTTTCTTATTTAGATAAGGAAAAATGGGTTTATTCACCCTTTTTTTCGTTGCCTTATTATTATTGCTGTTACTGCTTTTTTTTTATGTCTTCTTATTATTATTATAATTGTAATTATTGCTATTATTATTAAGACATTGTATTCTATAGATTTTAAACTTCCTTTTTAAAAGTCTGGTTTTTAATAGTTTAATCATTTAAATTTAAATTATTTTAGGGAGATTTTTAGAAAATTTCTTCTTAAATTCTTCTCTCTTCCTCTATTTAGTCTATTTTTTCCTATATTTCTTATAAATTCTGTCTCAAAAAATCTGACATTTTCTTAACTTTGAAAGTACTTACTTAAATATTAGGATTTTTGATAGCTTTGACGGTAAAAGTGTCAACTATGAGTTCATCTTTCATATATTTAAATAATTTCTAAGTTTTCAACTGGTAATATTCCGCGTCCCATTTTAATTCTAATTTAGTCTCTTCTAAATCCTGCTCGACTCTTTAATTTAGCATTTCTATATAGTCTGGATCTACGCATAATTCTTAGTTTGTCAATCTTGCGATTTCATCTATTTCTAAATTTTTTCTTTTTTGGTCTTCGAAAAGACTAACCAGATTTTAAACTTATTCTAGAATTTTATTCTTTTTTTTATTCGCCTCTTATTTTTTATAGTCTTCTTCGGCTAAAAGCTTGGCTTCCTAAATTGAATATACATTATCGTCTAAAATATCTTCTTCTTCTTAATTTTCTTCTTCAATTATTTTCTCCGAAAAAGTGTTTTCTGATATACTTCCGCCTTCAAATTGGTCTGCGAAAATAAAGTTTTCAACCATATTTCCTTTACAGATTTACTTAATGGCCTCCATGTCCACTTTATATGTCGAAAAAGTACCATCCCCACCCACTGAAAGGATACAATTTTTCATAAAATTTAAGCAAACATTTTTCACAGCCCCATAATCAATATCATGAGGTCTTAAATGTACTCCAATCTTAATATCATTCTTATGTCTTAACTACCAGGACCCATCTTTGAAGCCTATGAGTAAAATATCCTAGAAATCAACGAAATTCATGCATAGACTTTATATTTTAGGCACCGGAATAGCCTCTATAGGTCTATCTTTATTCCAATCAATTAAATATATCCAACCCATATATTTACCAGAAACTGTAGCGAGTATTTTAGTACAAGAATAATCATAATAGCAGGCATTCATTATACTATCAGGCTCCCATTCAACTTCTTCTTTCTTTTCTTCGTTTTTATTCCTTCTGAGTAAGAATTCGAGTTCCATTTCTTCCGTTTTGGGCTTTTGGAATTCCATCATTTTAATAGTGTAGGATTTCGCGTAGAAATTCTGTAAATAAGTTTCCGATGTGTCACAATTTTCCTTTTTAGGAATTTAAGTCTCGTAGATTTTGCCATCTTCAGCTGCAAAAAGCAACTTTTCACCATTACGGTCCCACACCATGCTGTTTATTTGTAGTTTAGTGTCGAATAAGCAGATTGGCTCAAGCTTTTTTATGTCTGAAGGGTCATTTTCGAGCAAAAATAAGTTCCCATCTATTGATAAAACGGCTACTATGGAACCATCAGGTGATGCTTTTATGTATTTTATGGCTTTATTGTGCACTTTGAGGCTTTTTAAGAGGGTGAAGGTAATTTGGTTTAATAATAAATACCTTACTATACCGTTTTGATAGCCTACAACTACTACTCGGCCACCATTTTTTCGGGTATGGGCTAACCATTCCACACAAGTGCCTTTTGAAGGGAATTTTCGGGAATAATATTCCCTTTTATTCACGAAATCCCAAAGACGAACCACTCCGTCATCTCCTATTGTAACTGAGGCGTTTTATGTTGGGGAAACGGCAATGTCATTTAGTTTTCCAGAATTTGTTTCTAATATAGTGGTTTACTCGGAAGATGTATAGTTGTCTTTTAGGCATAATTTTATTATTTTGCCGTTGAAATCTATTACTATCCAATAATTATCGGTTAGGAGAATTTAGGATATGTTTGCATTTCTCTTTTTTTTTTTTTTTTTATGTATGTTTTTTTTTTTACGTTTTCGTCGGTTTTTATTAAGATTTCGTTTGTTGGCTTTAAATAAAAATTACCAAAATCATCACTTTCAGAATTTTCTATTGATTGGAAATCCCAAAATCTTATATAACCATCCTCTCCGGCTGTGATTATATTATTATCTATTTTAAAAATTGCCTTTTTTATGTTTACAAAAAAAAATTATATATAGTATATAAATAATTTATTATGTATATTGTGTTTTTTAATTATTTTACATTTATACATCCGTCATGACATTTATTTTATTCATCAATAAAAATCACACACTTAATAAGATTACCTTCCCATAAAAGTAAATTTCCATATTCAGTACCTGATAATACTTTGCCATCTGGATGAATATAATATCCAATTACATCGGAAAGCTCTACTTGTCCAAACTTAGCGATTTCTCCTTTTAATTTTAAACCAGTAAAAGTCTCAGCAACTTTCCAGAATTTAATATGTGCTAAACCTGATGTTGCGAGTATATTCTCACTATATTCAGAAAATTATACATGATAAACTTCCTAAGAAAAAGCTTTAGCTTTTAAAATTATCATCTCTTTTTTCCAATCCCATATGGAGATTGTATAATCAGGACTAGAACCTACTGAAGCGCATCTTATTCCGTCAACTGCATATATATATATTTAATTATATATATATATATATAATATATATATATATATATATATATATATATATATATATAAAATACATGAAAATGTAACAGAGCTATAAGATAATTCAGTTCCTTTTCTTAGAATTCTAAATAATTTTAAAGTTGGATATTCATATATATAAATATTAGGTTTATTTCCTTTTTCAGCGACAGCAAAATATTTTTTAGAAGGATGAACAGCGATACTTCCTATACCGCCTCCATCTTTTGAGAATAATACTTATGTTTATAACGTATTAATATTTAATATTTAATAAGTAACACCACATGAATATATTATATTTTCGTTATCTAATACACTTACATTATATTTTTTCATAGAATCAAATCCAAATACTTTACTAAATAAATATATATATTATACATATATATATATATATATATAATATAAATATAAATATATATTTTTTATTATTACTGGTATTATACTGTCTATCGTGTTATTTATGAATCAGTGACTGTGCTTTCTAATTCATTTTCGTCATAAAAAAATTAATCTGTTAAATGATCTTATGAGCCTGGTTCTTTTGGAGTTTCTTAATTTTCTACTTTATTTTTGGCATATTCTTCATTTTAGAAAGTATTGTCTTGTTCTACTTCTTGATGATTTTTTTCTTATTCGATTATATGTTCTTCTTCTACTAAGCTTTCTTCATATTCATCTTCTTGTTTTCTTTTTTGGACTACTTCTTTATATTATTCAGTTATTTATTATGTAGTATTATTTATTGTTTAAATTGTTATTTCTTGTTATATATGTAACTCTTCATGTTATTTTATTTCAATGATTTCTTTGTATTGTTCAGTTTGCTCGTTTACTGTTTCGATTGTTTGCTCTTCTTAAAGAACTTCTTCTTTTTGTTCTTCTACTAATTTATTAGGAGATAAATTTTCCTCTATTGGCTATTATTCTTCACTCATATTTTTATAATTATTTTTCTTTCAAATATTAAATATTAAAAAATCTCTTTTTTTTTTGAAACGTATAAATAAACAAATAAAATATAAATATACATATATATATATATATATATAGGGAAAAAAAAAATTTAAATTATTATTTATTTATTTATTTTTTTAAATAACATATTATAATAATATTTATTTTTTAAAAAAAAAAACTAAAAAAAAAGACTAAAAAAATAAAATAAAAATAGAAACTAAAAATAAAAACTAAAATAAAAAACTAAAAAAAAAAATACAAACAAACAAAAATAAACAAAAAAACAAAAAAAAACAAAAATCAATTACTAAAATAAAAAAACCAAACATATAAAAATGTATATATATATTATTATAATTTTTTTTTATATATATATAAAAAAAAAAAAAATCAAATTTTTGCTTTTACTCCACAACATTTATCCATTCTCTAACATTTACAAAAGCTTCCTCTTTTTTCGACACTTTTTTTAATGTCCTCGATATTAACTTTCCCTTCTTTAATATCCTACATGCTAGGTAAAACATTTTATTTCATGGCTTCATTAACAACCATAGCTACAGGTCCTTTATTCATAGCCGCGAAAGCCACAACCCTTCCTCTAATACTATACCAAGCCATAAACTCTAATTTATTAAGATCTCCTTATATAAAAACATCGTCAAATCCTTACCCATAACCAGTATAATGTATAGATTTATTCCATTATCTAGTCCAAAAGAATGGTATTTCCTACACTGGGACTTATTTTCCTAACATATTAAGTGCAGCGACATATCCTTAATATATACTAGTATTAATATGCTCAATACGAACCCTTTAACCGGTGAAATGGTAGGGATAATTAGCTATATCACCAGCTGCAAAGACACCTTTTTATGAGCTTTCTAAAAATACATCAGTCTTGATTCCTCCTAGGAAATCTTTGTCTATATTCTGAGCAAAAGCGGTATTAGGGGAAACTCCTGCACCTAAAAGTACCAAATCGGCTTCAAGGACAGATCCATCATTAAGGTAAATTTTATTATCTTCCATTTTTTATATGCCAGTTTTTAAATGGAATTTAATTCCGTTTTATTCATGCATTTTCTGTATTACCTAACCTATTTCGTCCCCGAATACCCTTTCGTGAGGCACTTTACAATTGTCAACTACGTTAACGTTTATTTTGTCCTTCAAAAAGTCCTTTATGCTAGAGGCAGACTCTAAACCAATAAATGAGGCACCTACTATGACTATATTTTGGCTTTCTTGGAGCTTTTTTTTAAGTTTTTCGTATATCTTAATATTCTCTAAGAGTGAATATTTTATCTTTAGAAGCTCCTTATATGTTTATGTGACGTGCGTTTGTGCCTGAGGCTATTAGTAGTTTATCGTAGATGATTTCTTGTTTGTTTTAGGTAGTTATTTTTCTATTTTCGAAGTCTACTTTTTCAACTTCATGTCCTGTTTTGATGTCTATATTATATTTTTCTAAAAATTCCTTTTATCTAAAGACCAATTTTTCAGCATTTGCGAAAAAAACAGCTTTACTTAAAATAGTCCTGTCATAAGGTAAATAATCCTCTTTTGATAAAATTGTTATTTTACCAGAAAAGCCGCCCTATCTAAATGTTTCCGCAGCACTTATTCCAGCTGGACCTCCTCCTATAATTACATATTCAGTATTATTTTCAGGATCTCGGGTTACCATAGGGAGTACTTTGGGTACATTGAGCTTGCTTTTGGGTACTTTGATGCTTAATTGGCCATTTTTCTCCTCTATATGGAATGTTTCGAGCCCATTTAGGATAGGACCACTTTCTGGTGCTCCATCCTTTACGGAAAAGCAGCATTGTGCCAAGGACAAAATATTTTGTCATCAAAAAGAGGACCTTTTCCTAATGGAGCGCCAAAATGAGGACATTTATTGGATACACAGTAATATTTACCCTATACTTTGCAAACTAAAACACAGTCATCTTCTTTTGGACCTAATTGAACTTCACGTTTTTCACCTTCTTGGAAGTCTGCGGGAAGAGTACTTTCGAAGAAATCTTCAGTGTCATTTTTTGTAGAATGTGAAGTGTAAGTGTAATAAGTTAAAGAAGCTAAAAATGTGGTTAAAGTTAGGCGTTTTTATAAAAGGGATTTAGGGAGGACTTTTTAAAAGGGTTTTGTCGAAAATTTATAGGTTATAGGCGATTTTATGAGGGTTTTAAAAGTTTTGAACATATTTTATTTTATTTATATTTTAGAAAATATCTTTTTAATTTATAATTGAATTTACTAATTTTTGTTCTTATTTTATTTTATATAAATTTATTGTAATAAGAAAAGTAAAAATACTAGGTAATATATTTAATTTTAATATATATATGTATGTTTATTATTTAATAAATAATTTATATTCATATAAAAAATTATATATATGTAATCATATAAATTATATAATCGAATTTTATTAATAATGTATATTTGAAAATATTTTACTACTTTAATATTCAAAAAAAAAAATTAATATAAAATTTATATAAATATATACATACATATGGAATAATAATATTTATTATCTCCTTAAAAATCAAGTTATTATGCCTATAAAAAAAAGTAAAATCTAGCAAATATAGGAGAAATGATAATTATGGATGACTTACCAAGATTTAATTATGATTATTTAGCTTATCATTCAAAAAAAATACATCCGAAAGCTACAGGAAAATACGGCGAGTTTTATTTTTAAGATTAATAAGAGGAAAATATAAATGAATTTGAGAAATAATTAGCAAATTGTTTATTTAATTTAAAGAAAAAAATAAGAAAGAAACAATACATAAATGAAGAGGATGTAGAAAATAAAAATATTAATAAACTAAATAATGAATTATATGAAGAAATATAAATCGAGGATTTATATGAATAACAAAATGATAAATACAGGTTTTTTTTCTATATATATATAAAAAAATATATATATATATTAATAAAGGAAATTGTTTTTTCCAGAAGAATTAAATTAAAATAAAATATTAAAAACTGAAAATAATGAAGATTTAGATAATTAAAAAGATATTTTAGATTATATATAAATAAATGATAATACTAATAAAAATATTTTAAATAAATTAAATAAAATTAACAGGTTAAATCAGTTAAATTAAAAATATGCTAAAAACCAAGAAGAAAATGAGAATTTATAAAATAACTAAGAATAATTTAATGTTAACAATAATAATAATAGGGCTAAATCATCAAATTATATCTAATAAGAATAAATTTAACAAGTTAATTAGAAATAAAAAATTTCAAATTGGAGATTTTAATCATAAGCAATATAAGCTGCATAAAAAAAAAACGTTTAATATTCAAAAGAAGAAAATTAGGCTATAGTGGATGCTTTAAATAAAAATAGTTTGATTTAATGTGATGTTTGTAGAAGAAGATTTAATAAAAGAGCTTTAGAGTAACATATGGCATATTGTAAGTAAAAATTTGATGAAAATGCTAAGTTATGGGTAAATTAACCTTAAAATAAAAATTATATTAAGAGAATTAAAAGATGAAAATTAATGATAATTCAAAAAATAATTTGAAATTGTATATATTATATTTTGTATAAAAAAAAAATATATATATATATAAAATATATATATATATATATTAGTTAATTTACTATTTTTTATTTTTTTAAATACACAAATATAATAAAAAGCATAGATTATAATTTTATAGAATAAAATTTATAAAAGAAGATATTTTTATAAATATTATTTATTTTTTATAATAATAATATTTAAATATATTGTTATAAATAAAATATATATATCTGAAACAAAACAAATCTTTTTTTTTAATAAATTAATACATTTATATATATTTGTTTTTTTAAAAATTATTTATTTATTAAGTTCTATATTTTGTATTTTTTAAATTAAAATACCCGCAATTTAATGTATTTTTTTTTGAGATAATTTAAAAAAAATAAAATAAGAATAAATTATAAAAACATATCAAAAAAATGTAAGTAATTTGTCCATCTCGTATATAAGTAAAATTAAAACAAATAAATATATATAAAATAAATATATATTTCATATTATATTATTTAAATAAAAAGTAGTCTAAAATAAAATAAAAATAAATCAAAAAAAATCAAAAACTTTCTAATAATTAAAGCATCCAAAATTAAATAAATAAAATTTCCTTTGAACAACATAATTCTGATCTTAATTAAAACCAATAAATAAATTTATATTTTCCTTCAGATGCTGATAATTTTTTAGGTACTCCATAAGAAAATTAGCATTTAAAATAATAATTTAATCTATCTTAGTATGAATTAGAATAGGCTCTAAAGGAGTTTTAGTAAAAAAGCAACTATACATTAGACGAAGATGATATGTAAATAAATTTGGAGATTTAATAATAATATTATTTGGTTTCTTATTAAAAACTTCTTATTTATTAAAATGAACATAAGGAGTTTTCTAAAAATCGAATTATTCTTCTAGATTGGTTATAAGATGTATCTTCTTATAAAAACTTTAAAAGAGAAACTTATTAACTTACAGTTTCTATTTTGGATAGATTTTTTTAATTATAATTAAATTTGTAAAAGGAAAAACTTTAATTGTTTGGAGTTACAGCTTTATTTATTGCTTAGAAAATAGAAGTAAAAACACTACCTTTTTTTTAAAAAAAATAACATTAATATTTATCATTTGTACATATATACATTGTTTTTTTTTTAAAAAAAAAAATAAAAAAAACGTTATTTAAGTTATTTTTATATTTTATTTTTTATTAAAAATTTAAATAGTAAATATATATATTTTAATATTTTATATATAAAGGAACCTTTTTTGATTAATATTAATGAATTTACAGAAGTTTGCAAAAACATTTATACAAACGAAGAAATTATTAAATGTGAATAATTAATTTGCGAGGTAAAATAGTAAAAACTATTAATAAATATATTTAAAAAAACATAAAAAAAATAAAATATAGAAATTAGATTATAAATTAAATGGAATGAAACCTTATTTTTGGACAAATTAATTAATGTTATAATGGGATACTTTTATAGAATAATATTAAAATACTATAAATATATAAGAAAGAATTCATTATAATTAATTAACTTTTAAATCACCAACTTAATAATCTTTTAGATTATTTTCAAAAGTATGTTAATATATAGATTGTTCTTTTTATGATATATAAGTGTATAAATATTCTATCGAAACTATAATTATATGTTTTATGTTTTATACATTAAAACAAAAAGTTGGTATTAAAAAAATATAAAAAAAAAAAAATAATATAAAAAATATTTAATATAATATATATAAATAATAATAAAAGTATATTATATATTAAAACATTTTTAATATATATAATATATATAATATAAAAAAATATCTAATATATATAAAATATATAATATATAATATATATATTTAAATATATATATATATTTATATATATTTATTTATATATTTATAATTTAATATTAGGTAAATAATTATTTCAATAATCATCATTATAATAATTTGATTTAGTTTTTAATTAGTATCTAAAAGTTTGTTTTGGAATTAGTTTAATTTCAATTTAAGATTAAATGTGTTTTACTGATAAATTTTTAAATCTAATAATAAATTAATAATTTCCATAAGTTAGATAATAATAAAATTAACAATATGTATTATTTTTTAATTTTATTTATAAATATTTTTTATTAAAGTAAAGTTATGAAGATTTTTGTAGTCTATAAATATATAATTTAAATGGTTTAACATTAATTAATATTAAAAATAGTAAATGATTTTATTTTTTTATTTATTTATATTTAAAATTATAAAAAATTATTTTAATTTTTTATAAATTGATAATACATATATATTTATATATTTTATTATTTTTCTTTTATTTTTAATTAATTTCTTTCTTTTTTAAAAAAATTTTTAATATTTTTAATTTTAAAATTTTTGATAATTTTTTGTTTTTAATTTTTGTGTTTTTATATAATTTATTAAATTATTAAATAAAATAAAAAAGATTAAATAATAAAGTCTGTCTTGTTTATATACATTATTATATTTTTTAATTTTTTTTTTAAAACAATACTTACAACAAAAAATTTATAATTTACTAAATATATCATCTTTAATATTTAATATTCATTCTTCCATCTTTATTTTTATATATTATTTAAAAATAAAAACATAAAAAATTTAAAATAAGACTATAATTTAAAAAAAAAATATAATAGAATTTATATCTAAATTGTTATTTTTTATAAATTTTTGTATAATAATATAAAATAAAATTAGAATTATTTAAAAAAAAATATATTTTTAAAATTATATAAATATAAATAAAATAAATATTTCTTATAATATAATAAAAAAAAAAAAAATAAAAAATTTATTTATAAAAAAATATTTTAAAATAAAATATTAAAAGATAGATAAATAAAATAATTTAATAAATTATTAAGAGAAAAAAATATATAATATAAATTTTTTTTTTTTTTTTATAATATTTTTATTTTATTTTTGTAAATTATTAAAAAATAAATTAAAATAAATATAAATTAATTTTAATAATTATTTAATTATTATTATGGAAATTTTAAATATAATTATTAAATAATAAATATTTTAATTGATATTTTTTAATAATTATATTATAATATTATAAATAATAATTATTTTTTATTTTATTTATTTATAATATTTTCAATAGTATTAATATTAAATCTATTATAAATATTATTATTTTTAAAAATATTTTTATTATATTTTTATTAAATATTATAATTATATTACTTAATTTTAATTATTATATTATTATATTTTTATGTTATTATATTATTTTATTATTTTATATTTTTTTATATTTATATATATATTTTAATATATATATTAATATATATATAAATATATCTATTTTTAAATTTATATTTTTTACAATAAAATTATTTATGTTTATTATATTAAAATATAAAAATATTTATATGTATAAATATTTTAAAATTTTTTTTATTTAATTATTATTATTTTTA